GCTTTCATTTTCTCTCACAGCTTGCTTTAAAAAAAAAAAAAAAAAGGCAATAACATGTTACCAGGCTTAATGGTAACTGCTTAAATTGCAGATTTCACTCCAGACCAACTTTTTGATCATTCTTGCTCTGATATAGAGAAAACAAACTTTCTGTTCCACTGTTAATATTTTAACTGTCATAAACTGCCATCTGAATTGGAGAGGAATGAGTGTTAAGTCCCAAGGAGGTCTCCTTTTCCCTTCACACCCCCTAGTCATTGTATTTGGAGGTTAAAATCTGACGTTTAATTTTTCTTTAAATAGTTTATATACTGAAAATACTTTTTTAAGCTATTATTACTTTTCATTATTTCCTTCTCTCATGTTACTAGTGTTCTCTGACTGCCTTACCTCTACAAATAGTAAGAGGGCATGTACGTAGACCTCTTGGTTCTTCTTCCTCATTTTCCTTTAACTGTATTTATCTTGAAGGGAACTGAGCCTGGTGTGAAGGAAGAACTTTTTTCCAGCTTTTCATTCATTCTGATACTGGTGTTTGAAAATATGAGTATCCTGTGATAGTTCTTATCTATGAATCCTTAATAGGCTGATTTTTGTGGGGTTTGTTGTTGGTTTTGTTTTGGTTTTTTTTTTTTTTTCAATATATGAGTTCTGGCTGCAGTAAATCTACAGCACATAGATTTGTTTTTTTTTCAAGTCTGTCCCTGGCTGGCTGTTTGAACTGTGTTAAACCCAAACCTCTCCACTCCTTTGGCTGCAGGAATCTTCATTCTTAGCTGGGCAGGGTACTTTCTGTTCTTCTTCTGGCAGCTCTTGTTGAGCCCTCTGTGCGTATGTGCCTTATCCTCACCCCTTTTTCAGGAAAGGGCAGTCAGAGGTCGGCTTCATTGAAAATGAAGAGCTGGACGCAGCAGTAAGCTCTGCCTGCTGGAAGAGGACTGGGTGGCTTCCTTGGACACTTCATTTTTTGGGGCAGCTAGTTGGCAGTTTCTTGGCTGCTTTATATTCTTGGTGGTGCCAGTCTTGTATGTGAAAAAAAGCCGCTCTCCATGGGGCAGCCTTAACTGTATTTCTCTTTCTGCAGAAAAAAATGACGTGCTTTTAAGGCTCTCAGTGCACTGTCCCCAGACACAAAGCGATGAACTGTGGCTGTTCTCTTGGTGGGTTTTGTGTTTAGGGAAAGGAAAAGGTCACGTTGTTGCTGACATTCTCATGTAGGTTGTGCTCAGAAGGCGGGAAGCAGAGTTTTGCCCACAGTGGTTGTTGGCTCTGGGGGCACTTTCTGCTTCTGACAGCTGGACATGTCAGAAATCGAGTGGGGATCTTCTGGAAATGTCTCAGGCCTCTGGGAGAGGCCACACTGGAGTGGAGTTCATTTCACGACAGTGGTGTTAAGGATCCATAAAATCAATATATGTGATTTAAAACATACATATATAACATTGTGCAAGTAAATGATACTCTCAGGTTGTTTACAGTTTTCTGGTTTGATTATGTCTGTGTTCCTGAGAGAATAAACAAACATGACTTACTTTTTTGGACAAAATAAACGTGTTTCCCTTCAATCTTTTTATTTCCTAAAGAAGAGGAGACAAAAGAGGCTCCCATGGCTGAAGGGGAGGAGAAGGAAGACAGCGACGACGATGCTGCACCGATTTCAGAATTCAGATTTGTGCCTAGCGACAAATCAGCCTGTAAGTGAAGAGGGAAGTCGTGTTTTAGCTCAGAGTCCTGGCTCTGTGTGAGGACATGGGGTGTAGATGTAAACGATAGGATCCTTTAGCATCCCTCTCTAGTTAATAGATTTCTGTGGGCTGAAAAGCACAACGGAGATTGTTTTTGAGGAATTGTCCAGAGATAAGCCTTTGTCATAGACAAAACAATGGAAAAGTTCTGCTAAGATGAAACCCCAGCCTGCATGTAGGAAACCTGGCTTGTTCCTTGCAGGGCTGCTGGCTGCTTGGGTCACGTTTTCCAATGCAGCTTCGGTGGTTCTGGCAAAGGGACGTTCTCCATCTCTCTAGTCGTCAGTTCAGGATTTCTTGCCTGTCGTTGTGGGGTGCTGGAGGAGGACTGAGGGAGGTGTATGTGTCTGTCCCTGCAGTGGAAGCCATGTTTTCGGCGATGTGTGAATGCCAGGCTCTGCACCCAGACCCAGAGGATGAAGATTCAGACAACGATTACGAAGGGGACGAGTACGATGTGGAGGCCCACGGTTGGTAGCAGTTGTTTCTTTTGAAATACCTGCCAGCTCCTGGGCATGTGGGATCACAGAGCGCTGGGGCTGGGAAGGGACCTCTGGAGATCATCTTGTCCAACCCCCCTGGCTAAAGCAGTGTCACCCAGAGCAGGTTGTCCAGGATCATTCAGTCATCTTCCTAACCCTCCACTGGACTCTCTCCAGTAGGTCCTTGTCTCTCTTGAACTGGGGAGCCCAGAAATAGACTCTGGAGTTTCTATCATGAGAATGGTTTGGTCTGTTCAGAAGTTCCTTGTTTATTACTCATCTTGTCGAAACATTCTTTTTGCATAGTATAAATCTGCAGAAAATCTGTAGTTTAACTCTCACAAGTCACTGGAATTCAGCAGAAAACATTGCCCTCATTCTCAAAATTCCCAAGAGGCAAATATCAGTCAGCCTTCCCTGTTCCCAGCGGATGTGCTAGCACAAGACCAGTGCCCATGCTGTGGTGCGGGCAGTTCACATCGCTGTGTGCCTTCTGTAACCCATGTAAGCAGCTTTCTAATCTCAAATGAGTTAATCTGGTCGTAACGTGCCTAGGTGCTGTCCTGTCCCTCCACCCCTGCTTGGTGGAGGCTCCTGAACTTTGGTCTCACAAACATAAACTCGTTTTGCAGAGCTGGAGCAAGGTGACATCCCGACCTTCTACACGTACGAGGAGGGGTTGTCCCACCTCACTGCAGAAGGCCAGGCCACCCTGGAGCGGCTGGAAGGCATGTTAGCCCAGTCCATCAGCAGCCAGTACAACATGGCTGGAGTCAGGACAGAAGACTCCATCAGGGAGTTTGAAGGTAAGAAATGCTTTTGGCTTACTGAAGAATAGATGAGAGCAGTGGTTCTGCCATCTGGCAGCTCCATAAACACCAGGACTGAGCAAGGATTGTGCTGTGGGTGATACCTTGCCATGCTGTGGGTGTTCAGGTTGGGTGGATGGGCTGAGGTCAACTGCATGAGTTTTAAGAGGGCCAAGTGCCAGGTTCTGCACTTTGATCACAACCACCCCCTGCAACGCTCCAGGCTGGGGGAGAGGGGCTGGCAGCTACCTGTTAGTAAAGGATCTGGGGGAGCTGGTGAACGGCCAGCTGAAGATGAGCTACTGTGTACCCAGGTGGCCGAGAAGGCCACCAGCATCATGGCTTGGATCAAAACTAGTGTGGCCAGCAGGAGCCGGGCAGGGATTGTGCCCCTGGACTGGGCACTGGGGAACATGGCTTATGGGGAGTGGCTGAGGGACCTGGGGTTGTTTAGTCTGGGAGACCTTCTTGCTCTCTACAACTCCCTGAAAGGAGGTTGGAGTGAGGTGAGGGTTGGTCTCCCAAGTAACCAGCGACAGGATGAGAGGAAATGGACTCAAGTTGCCCCAGGGGAGGTTTTGCTTGTGCATTAGGAAGAATTTCTTTCCTGGCAGAGTGGTGAGGCCTTGGCCCAGGCTGCCCAGGGAAGTGCTGGAGTCCCCAGCCCTAGAGGATTCAAAAAACATGTGGACATGGCACCTGGGGACATGGTTTAGTGGTCATGGAAGTGTTGGGTTGATGGTTGGACTTGATGATCTTAGAGGTCTTTTCCAGCATTAACTATTTTATGATTCTCTGGTATTTACTGGCAGCCGCAGGGTACAGAAAGGCTGTGGCCTCACGGGCAGCGTGCTGCCGGCCGTGGGTGGAGGGCTGCTGTGTTAGAGAACCAAGAGCACTCTGTTAAGAACTCCTGATTCTTACTGGTATGATTCCCTGGAACAGTGGCAGGATGAAGTTGATTTAGGATTGAAAAAAAATTAGTCTGCACTGGGATTAGGAAACAATTTCCATTCTACACAGGTAATAGTTGTGTTTTTGGTTTTTTTTTAAATGCCCTAAATGTTAAGTTAATAATATTTTTTACCACATTCAGTGTGAATTCAGAATCATTGAAATCCTCTGAGACAGATTTAGGAAAAAAAAAAAAATCTGCTTTTCTGAAGGATGCTGATTCATAATGCTACTGATTGTACAAACATGTATTTAAGGAGCAGGGTTTCTTTTTGTCAGAAAAAAACCCCAATCTCTCAGATTTTGCCTTTTCTGTGTGCTGTTGTCAGTGGAGCAGCCTGGGAGAAGAGGAGGGAAGTAGTTCAGTAGTATTGCTGCTTCTTGTGATAGTGGCAGTGCTTTAGTACAGCCTGATGTTTTTGAAGGACAAAAAATGATGCAGCTGTTGTGGTTTTCTAGATCTCAGCTTGCTTGGAATAGTCACCAGAATAATACATAATCTGTTCTCTTCCACATGGATGATGTTTTGATTTTCATGTGCTTTGTCAGTTGTTTACAGGTTCCCTTTGTTACGCTTTGAATCAATTGATATCATGTACACGAGGTGATGCACTCTTGTGTTAGCAGTGCCCTTTATTGAAAAATTGACAGGTTTCTGCACCCCAAAATTCCAAAAATTAAAAAAAAAAAAATTAAACGGCAAATATGTCACATGTCTCAAAGCCATCTTCATAGGTTTTATTTATGCCTTTCTCATCTTACTTCCTCCATGCTGCTTCTTGGTTTGCCACCATTTTAATACACCCAGGGCTGCTTGCTTTTGGAATTCTGTTGGGGTTTGACATTGTAGCACAGAGCAGTTGCTCCTTTTTTCAACTTGCTTCCCGAGAGGGGATTCAGAACACAGAATCTTAGAATCCTTTAGATTGGAAGAGACCTTTAAGATCATCAAGTCCAACCATTAAGCCAACACTACTAAGTCCTCTGATATGACCCAGCCTCTTTCTGTTGGAGTCTAATTAAAGATGTTAAATGCAATCATGCTGTTCGTTGCACCAAAACTCCATTCAAAAATCAAATCCTTTAAATCCACTATTTAAGTCTTTTAGCAAGACGAGGTGAGATGAGGTCGTAGGAAGCGGTGACATCTTTAAGTGACCTGCTGATAGAGTCGGTGTTTCCTTTGGCAGCTTTCAGAAGCTGGCAGAGGAGTTTTCAGCTCGGGCCATCTCTTGCCAGCAGAGGGCACTCGCTGCCTGGCGCTACCGCAGCTTCTGCTCTGTTTTTGCAGACGGGATGGAGGTGGACATGGCGCCGGTGGTCGCGGGGCAGTTTGAAGACGCGGAGGTCGATCACTGAGGAGGGCACGTGCTGCTGTAAGTTCTTCTGTCTTCCAGCACCAGTGCTTTACAGTCCCACAGCAGAGCCTTCTCCAACGTGTGCAGCACACGTGATCCCACATCTTCTGCAGGAAGTATCTTGTGGCATCAGGATGGAGGGGACTTGGGGAAGGAAAAGGTAGCTGTAGTTGTCCTAAATGAGGAAAGATGTTCAATGATCTGTCCAAAACTAGCTGTTTGGGTAACAGTGATGTGTGTGTGTAACCCATGGGGACATGTCTGTCTGGAAGACAGGTGAGCCCTGTGGTAGTTCTAAGAGTTGTCTGAGCTCAGAGGGTTTTCAATGCTGAGGTATGAATGCTGGAGCCCTTGCTGGGAAGTTACGGTCCTCGGCAGCCGCTATTTCTCCCTTCGTGTGCAGGACTTCCCAGGCCCCTCAAGGGGGCAGGACACCTCACAGCACTGCCAGTCGTTCTCTTCCCTCACTGGAAGCAGGGCAGGAACATTTCCCAGTGTAGTTACCAGTCTGGGTGGGATGTTTTGTTTTGTTGCTGTTAATAGTCCTGCAGTTCCAAAAGTCTCTGAGTAGCTCTGAGGTGTGTCTGCTGTCTGATCTCAACTGCTGCTGCTGGTCCTGAGTTAGTATATATTGTGTGGTGTAGAGCTCAAGCTTTTCTTCAGTCATACTTCCTACCATGGGTGACTTTGAAGTACAGAGGAATTCTTCCAAAAAAAGTGAAGATATTGGTTGTCCTGCTGCTGGACAGTTATCTTATTTCATGAAGGATATGTTTTAAAACTAAAAAAATTAAATAATTAAGAATGAATTCAGCTGTAGATGAAGTGTCTCTTACTTTTGAATGGGAAGCTTGGTCTGATAAGTCAGTCCTCAACATGAGTTTGGTTGGTGCTTTATTAAATAAAAGGAAAAAAAAACAAAATGTGGTGTTGACAATTGAAATTTGAATGCTTATTGTCCTGGTCTCAACTTGAGCAGGGTTAAGGAGAGTTAGTGGCTGGCAGCATGTCTCTAAGGAGCCGGAGGGTGCTGGTGGAAGTGGTGTTGACTGACGTCTGTCGAAGTGCACAATGCAGCCCGTGGGCAGCTTTGGTTGGCAGAACTGCTCCTGCTGCCGACTCTGCTCGCCACAGCGCGGCAGGCGCCTGTGGGAGATGGGTGCTGCCGCAGGGTGGGGCTCAGGAGCTGGCCCCTGTCAGGGCAGCTCAGTGATCTGCAGCGTTGCTCCAGGGAGAAGTTCAGGAGCTGTGGGTCTGATCAGCCTTTCTGAAGTAACCACCAGCCTGAGGGGTGATGTAATGCGAGTTTACAAACCTAGGATACAGGGCAGCAAAAAACAGCTGCAGGTGCCAAGAGCAGCTCTTGCAGGTCTCTGCTAATCACCCTGCTAACAAGGGTGGCTTGCTTTTATGCTCTGAAAACTGGGGTGAGAGGGAGCAGGCTATAATCTTCTGTGGAGCAGCTTGGCCCTTTTAACCTTCTGAACTGCAAAAACAACCGAGAGGAACATCTTGTTGGTGATCCTTTGGAGAGCAACGTGTCGCTCTGCCTCTAAAGCAACGCCCCTGTGGGACAGTCATGCTGCACGTCACTGCCCGTTACCCAAATGAGATGTGACAGTTGCCTGCCGAAGCTCCTGAAAGCCTTGCTGAGAGCTGGCGTGGGACGTTTGGGGTCGGTCTGTTGCATCACGAGGTCGCAGGAATTGTTTGGAAGCAGCTGGTGTGTGGTGGTGTGACGGGGTGTTCGGGGCACGGGCGCTGCACGGCGGGCCACCAGCACGCTGTCCTGGGCTGACCCGAGTTCAGAGCTGCTACCAAAGGCCACGATGCTCCTCGGCCCTTCAAATCAGGGGGTTCGCAGCGAAGCCCCATCTTCTGCGGCTGAAACAACAGACTGCTGCTACTGTGAAGACGAGTAAGCTTTGCCCTTAGTGCCAACGATTAACACTTGCTGTCTTGTGTCTTTCAGATTCCTCTCACGGCACTTCCAGGGCAAGCTGTAAAACCGGAAGCACTGCACCGGCTATCAGGAGTTAACCTTTCTTTTAATGACCTAAGCTTAGAGATCAAAGTCTATCCATGCTATCATAGATGTTTCAGGGTTTGACATTTGTGACCACTGAGGGGTTATTTACAACAAAATGGACGCAAAACAAGAAAACCTCTTCATCTAACACTTGAATGGGGCTAATCGGGGGGTCATTTCAAAGAAGCCTTTGTAGGAATTCTAGGACTTCAAAAATAAAACTAAGTAGAAGAGAAGTTTTAGATTGTCCTAGAATTTTCCGTATTTTTGTACCTGTTTGTTGCAGCAGTGGAGCAGAATGGAAATGGAAACGTTACAAAGTTTGACTAAGAGGAAATAGGGTTGGCTGAGGATTAAAAGCGAAGCTAAATTTACTGCCCCTCAAGTAAATGGCTTCATCAGTTCAGTGCTGCCCCTTTTGATTCTCTGAGAGCAGCGTGGCTGGCGAGGAGATGGAATACACTCTGTGAGGTCCTGAAAAGCAGAACTGGTTTGTGTCTTTGTATTAAATGTTAACAACATTGTTAAATAAACTAAGATTTTTGTATCTCACAAGCAACTCGGTGTTGCAGTTCTCGGTCCTTCAGTTCAGCGAGCAGCTGGCAGCACTGAGCTGACGTCCTCGTGTTGTAGCCCTCTCTTCTGTACTCAAAAAAAGTGATAGAATCCTAGAGTGGTTTGGGTTGGAAGGGACCTTTCAAGGTCATCTTGTTCAACCCCCCTGCAGTGGTCTTCAGTTAGAGCAGGTTGCTCACAGCCCTAGCCACCCTCACCTGGAATGGTTCCAGGGATGGGGCATCGACCACCTCTCGGGGAAACCTGGGACAGGGGCTCACCACACTCGGTGTAAAAAAATTCTCCCTTATTGTAGTGGGCACTTTTTTAGGGGCTCTCTAGACAGCCTTGAAGTCCTGGCAGGCCACCAGAAGGTTTCCCCAGCTGGAGCTTTCTCTTCTGCAGGCTGCCCAAGCCCAGCTCTCTCCTGCAGGGGGCTCTCCCCAGAGCGGGGCAGAGGGGCAGGATCCCCTCTCTGCCCTGCTGCCCACGCTGCAGGGGGTGCAGCCCAGAAGCCAACCTGGCCAGCTCCTCACCCGCAGCAGCCCCAGGTCCTTCTCCCCAGGGCTGCTCTCCAGCCCTTCACCCCCAGCCTGGGTTGTAATGGGGGATTGCCCCAACCTATGTGCAGGACCTTGCCCTTGGCTTTGATCCTTGTACATCATGAGGTTGACATGGTCCAGCGAAGCTGTTTGCCTCATGTACCTGGATGTGAGTCTGAAAGGTCAGGACATCTGCAGAGTGCACCTCTCTTAGCTTAGCCCAACACATCCCAAACTTAGGAACCCAGCTTTAGATTGCCAAGAGCTTAGTCTTGCTGGAGCTGTTGCTGCTTCATCACTGCCTGGTGGTGTTTTTGCCAAGGGACAATGAGAGCAAGTTCAAGTTGTTTTTTTCCCCAGTATTCAGATGAAAGTCTGGTACTGAAGTTTTCTCGCTTTCATTTGATTTGGAGTAGACTTGTGATGATTTTTTTTTTTCAGTATTATGTTGGTATATGAAGTTTTTTTTATCAGCCTACACTCCTGGAATCATACTGAGTGGTCCTGTCCTGCTTAGCACACTGGGGGCTGGTTTGATTTCAAGGTATGTGAAAATTAACACCTCTTCCTAATATTCATTAGGAAGGCCAGTCAAATTAGCAGTGACTTACTAGCATTTGAACTCTTGATATTGCTGAATAAATTAAGCATTTAGCATGTTGCACAACATGGATGAGCCCTGAAGGTAGCGCTGAGACATGTCCTTGTGGCTTGGCAAGTTTTATTCTTGATAAATTTTATTTAAAACTTTGTGTTCATAAGCATTCATTGCTTGAAATGGTAAATACTGGTATTTTAATCTGTACTACCAAAAATAGTTAAGTCCTTCAGTTCCTAACTTAGTTTTTCAGCCATTCTGCTACTTTTTTTTTCTTTTTTCATTTTAAATTCTACTTCTGGTAACTATAAATAGAGCACCTAGATCTATACCATTTCTCTTTTTTTAGCTATATATTATGGCAAAATACACAACGTAGACACACACAATTCAGACCTGACCTCTTTGCTTTATGGACTTTGCTTTTGCAGGCTGTCAAAGATGATGTGGAAGTAGGGTCTCTAACTAACCTTGGCTGCCTGTAGGTTTGTATCTCTGCTTTCTGTTTTCCCTTGTTGTATGCTCTTTAAGTTTTTTTTTTGAGACCTGTACCCATGGGCCTCACAGGCTCAAAGGAGACGTGCAAATGAATTCATTATGTAAGGCTCATTTCTGGAAGAAATGAGGCTAAAAACTGGGCTTGAGTGCAGTAAAAGCAAAGTCCCAGGGAGGAAAGAAACAAATCTAGAAGGTATGGATCATTTTAAAAATACTTAAAATTGATAAAAAACACTAAAGCAAGAAAGTGATGGGTAGAACAGTCCCTAAAGCAGCTATTTTAGAAGCAGAACATGGTATAAAAGTAGATGTTTTTCAAAGGTCTGTTTCTGTTCCAGCAGCTCTTGGTGGCAGTTACAAGTAAGCAGATGAATGTGGAAGCAGTGAAAGGATCACATTTTACCAGGCTGGCAGCTCTAGTTCTCCTCAGTGCTACTTTTTGTTTAATTTTAATGACTGAATACAGGGTCATGGGTTAAGATGTTCTTGTATGAAAAGCACGTTCAAACAGTTGATTTCACTTTGCAATATAATCTTAAAGGTACCTTGGAAAATTAAAATGAGAAGATTTTATTGCAAACACGTAAGAAATTACATGAAAATATTTCCTTCCAGAATTCTTGCAAAAAAAATAGCTGACAACAGTAGCTGCTTAAGATCTGGTTCATAATTTTAATGGGGAAAACCCCCCCTTTGTCTGATTCCCTCGCTTCCTCTGCAAGGTGACCTGGGGAATGAGTCGAGGGGCCTACTGCTGGCATCTTGGTAGAACTTGTTAACCAACTCTCTAACTCAAACTATAGAATAAAAACTGAATTTAGTCTTAAATTTGGAAAATATTTTTTGGGCATATTAACAAATTAAGCTGTGTCCAAAAGAAGAAACCTCATGCTAGAAAGAGAACTTAAGTGGATGGTGCCTGTTGGTGGTGTTTTTCTCAGCCCAAGCTATAAAGGGCATGTTTGTGCTAGTAGTTTGACCTTTTGTTTTTTAGCCCTTTCATTTCTTCTCCTGTATTACAAATTCATTTATTTCAAGAAAAATATCTGGTAAGAGTTACGTAAAATCAAGGACAAATCAAGTTCCACATGATTCATCCCTATATACTGTGTCTATTTTAGTATGTGACGAAGCAGCAGTAATCTCAGACAAAGTAGGGAAGGGGTGCTAGTAGTTTGACCTTTTGTTTTTTAGCCCTTTCATTTCTTCTCCTGTATTACAAATTCATTTATTTCAAGAAAAATATCTGGTAAGAGTTACGTAAAATCAAGGACAAATCAAGTTCCACATGATTCATCCCTATATACTGTGTCTATTTTAGTATGTGACGAAGCAGCAGTAATCTCAGACAAAGTAGGGAAGGGGGTTTT